TGGTGGTCTCCAAGGATGGCCCTCAGGGATTTCTCTGATTCCTGCCTACACTGACCTCCTATACCAAGAAGGAGACCTAATCTCCCCCCACCCCTTGAATAGGGACTGATTTTATGACCACTTTGATCATTAGGTAGAAGTGATGAAACTCCTGCTTCCTTCTTTTTAGAATGCTTATCCTTGGGACACTTTCTTGGTAACAACTGCCATGAGGTAAGACATTCAAGTCACATAAGGAAGCCATTGAAGGAGAACTGGGCACTCTGGTTGACATCCCTGCTGGGCTCCCAGCTGACAGCCAGCATCAACTGCCAGCCCCCCTGAGCAGGCTACTTTGCACCTTCTGACCCATTTGACTCTCCAATAACCACAGTCACAGCCAACAGCACATGGGGCAGAAGAACTGCCAGGTTAAGCAACAGGAAAGAGAGATGATAAAATGACTGTTGTTTTAAATCACTAGTTTGAGTAGTTTGTTACACAGCGGTGTACAACTAAAACATTTAACTTTCACATAAATGTCTTTGTTCATATTCAAAATTAATGTTCATATTTAAAATGAATATGTTCCATCAGGCCAACAGATACATTTTTATAACTTCAAAGGAAGCTTATCAAAGTTCCCCATGTATTTAGGGATGGACAAAGGGAAGCTGACTCTCTTACAATTCATATATGGGAATCTGAGGCACTTCTCCCGGTAGGAGTTTTGTTCAGAAAGCCTGAAAATGAAGCTGGCACTTGAGTATTTCCCTTTCCCTTGCTTTATTGTTGCCCTCTAGTGGGCAGAAAGAAAATGGAACAGAAAATGGATCACATTCACTATGCCCCACCCAAGCTAATCCACACCAGCAGGTTTCAAAGAGGAGTTCCATGGAAAGTTGTTGCATTTCCGGATGGGGACGGGATAAGTGGAGGGGAAATGCAGTGCATGGGATATTTCTAAGTATAATTGTATTTTGGACACTTCAGTGAAGTTATCGATTTTTGAAGCTACCTTAAATTTGGGATAGGCTGTTGCTTTAAATCGATTTTCTTTTTATATTTCCACATCATTCGCTAGTGCTATACTTTTTTTAAAATAGTTTTTTCCCTTTATTTTAATTTTTTTCTTTTCTTTTTCTTTCTTTCTTTCTTTTTAATTAAATCATAGCTGTGTACATTAATGCTTTTTTTTTTTTGGTAGCTTTTGGCCTGGGCTGGGTTTGAACCCGCCACCTTCGTTCGGCATATGGGGCTGGCGCCCTACTCCTTTGAGCCACAGGCACTGCCCGCCATACTTGTTCTTATTTATTTATTTATTTATTTGAGTTTCTGTTTCTTGGTGGTGTGCACACTCCTTTCACTCAGGTGTGATTGCCTTCTCTCTGAAGAGGCTCCAGGTGTGTGGAATTGAGTTTCTTCTTTCACTCAGGTGTGAGTGCCTTCTCTCTGAAGAGGCTCCAGGTGTGTGGAATTGAGTTTCTTCTTTCACTCACTTGTGAGTGCCGTCTTTCTGAATATGCTCCAGGTGTGTGGAAATAAGTGCTAGACTTGTTCTTAATGGCAACCAACAACCACACAAAAAGGGAGACTGGTTGAACACCAAAACCCATAGGCCCAAATGTATTGCACTTAATTTTGCAAATCCATATCCATCATCCACCAACTTACCATCCTGCCACACACCTGTATCAATGGTTCCAAACATTAGTTTCCCCGTGCAATCCTTTATCAACTGAAACCTTACATGTGAATAAGAACAAGCAAATAAAAATGATTCTGAGAGACTTTGTTTGAAAAGCTCCCAAATCCCCCATCCCTGTAAGATATTTCCTTGTCACCTTCTTCATCTGATTTGAAAATCACAGAAACAGGGATGTTATTAGATTTCAATTCATTAAAAAATACATTTTGTGATCAATACAAACTTTTAGTTTAGTATTTTCCTTATATATGAAAGAAGATATCCATCCATTGGGTTTTCTGAAGGAAAATGGAAACTGTTGAGGGCTTAATTGTGTCTAAAAATCAAAATGTCATTAAAACATTGCAATGACCCCAAGAGACAGGCACTGGCTGTCTGAATTTCTTCTTCTTTTTCTCTGTCTCTTCCTTTCTATTGGTTCACAGTGCCTTTTTCCAAAAATAATGTGAGCAAAGTTACAAAGATATAGCCAAGCCTAAGAGTTAAATCAATTAATTGATACAATTAGTAAGAAGCAAAGTGTCCGTGAAATAAGATGATAGCAAGAGAGAATTTATATGATTCTTAAAAATATGCCTAAGACCCTGCATCTCTGCTGGAAGTAGGCTGAGAATCTAGCTCCTTGTTCTCTGGAAGCAAACGCCAAGAGGGAAGTATCATTGGTTGTATATAATTCACTTTGTCTACAGGAAACAAACCAGTTTTCTTAGGGCAGCAGAACTGAGGTCTGATGGCGAGATCTTCACCCAGGATTGAAGAAGGGGACACATGGGGTTGGAGGAAACACAAGTTTTGTGCTTCTTACAATGTCCCCCATCACAGGCTGATGGCCTAGGGATATACATTCCCATTTTACAGAGCAGAGAACAGAAACTTGGAGAAGTTAGGCTACATGTCTCAGATCACACCTCTAGGTAGAGAAGCAGCTGAGACTCCAATGCACAAGTCTTTTCTCCTCTCCGTGTTATCGCTCAGGCTCTGACCCTTTATACTCCTGTTAGATATTCATTCATCCAAGACAAGTGAGCTTGTCTAAGCATCTAGTTTAGGAGGCTTTTGATTCCAGGTGTTAAGAAATCAGGGCCCCTGTTTTAAGAAATCAGCATAACTTTGTAAACCTTAATAAATCTGTGACTAACGTGACTAGGCTTTCCTTTATACTTCACGTAGGCGCTAACAGAAGGTTCTCCCCCACTATATTTTAGTAAGGTCTGGTGTTAAAATCTGGAGTTAAATTTTAGTGTCTAAAACCCTAGAATTGGCTGGCCTTTCTTGTTTTTAAGTGTCTTAATGCTTCTTAATTCATCGGTGTTCATGGGACCATGAGATAAATTCACTCACGTGACACTTTTGATGCATGCCTACTATAAGCCAGGGGCTGTTTCTCATTAAGATAAGGGATGTTTATACTTACCAAGTTAATTACCAAAAAGCACGGAATAATGTCGCAGGGGAGGAGGAAACATAAAGGTAAATGTAAACCTAGCCCTATCCTTTGACACAAAAATGTTAAGAGTTTAGAGCTCTATAAGAGATGAGTGAGAAATTTAAGTCTAGGTATGGTATGTGTCAAGAGCAGGGCCAAGGAAGACACCAAACAATTTATAGTGACAGTATTGGGTAAAAAAGAAAATATAAATTAGCCAGGTGTGGTGGCACATGCCCGCAGTTCCAGCCGAGGCAGCAGAATCTCTTGAGCCAGGAGTTTGAGGTTGCTGTGAGCTATAATGACACCCCAGGACTCTACCCAGGGCAACAACTTCCTAGCCTGCTACATACATACATCACTGGTTTCAAACATTTGTTTCCCCATGCAATTCTTTATCAACTGAAACTTTACATGTAAACAGGAGCCAACAAATAAAAATGACTCTGGGAGACTTTAGTTGTCCCCAAAAAACAAAAAATCAAAAACAAACAACCAAAAAAAAAAAAAAACAACTAAAAACACTAACGTGGTTGGAACACATTCTTCTTAGTGAAGTATTACAAGAATGGAGAAGCAAGAATCCAATGTACTCATCCCTAATATGAAACTAGTAGGTGATCTAGTACATACTCTCTTAAGAGAAAAACTCAAATCAATTCAAGGTGGGGGACAGGGGAATGAGGGAACGGGGAGAGGGGAGGAAGAAGAGGGG